GATTAGCGATGCAAGGGGAAAGCCCTAGATAAGTAGTAAAGCGGATTCCCAAACAGTCGGTGGAATAATACTGAGTACCTTGCGACTGCATATGTATCTGATCAGCACGCAAAGGACACGACAATAAGAGGTCTCACACTGGTTCTTCAGCCGAATAAGCAGAAGTATCAGGCTGGGATTAATTCTCCGATTGCCATCCTGAAGCTAACGCTGCCATGCAGCGTCTCTGCAGAGTGCTGTAACTTATCCCGTTGAGCCCAAAGCAGACAAAGGTCATTTGGAGTGCGAATACAGATCACCTGAACACCTCAGGCTTCGAAATTGAGTTATGATGAGAATCTCTGACCATGTATGGACTATCTGCTCGACTGCCGTACCATACTCTTTCCTCACCTTCTCCTCTTTGCGGGGACACGGACCATTGTGGAAAGCTTGTTCCTGTGCATCCATTTGGTCGAAGGCGGACTGGAACGAACTGTCTTAAGACCGTGGAACTGAGCAGCGAAGATCCAGACAAAGAGCTTCCAAATATTTCGAGAGAAATAGGGGCGAAACGACCTATTGTCCAGGCTATAATTGATGTCAATGTCAGCAAGTCGGAGCATCAACGGTCTGCAAACGGCATGCCGGATAACCAGGAAAGTCAGTCTGCTCGGGGCCTATTGACATCTTCTGACATCCATGAGGGGTCATTGCTTGGAAACACCGTGTGCTAGACCACTAGGTGCGTATGCTTTGACGATTTCAACGTGAGGGAGGCGAGAACAAGATGTTGGGACTCCAGGTCTTTACGCCACTTGGAGAGTTGATGATGTGCTTGACCCATCAGAGCGATAAAACAGGGTCACAGGAAGCACTTTTGATAACAGCACTTTCTGAGTGTCCATTACTTGTTCTTAACGCTTCTAGATGATGTACACAATGCTAAATGCACCTATCTCCAGTTTCAACGCGGACTGCGCATTAGTCTCTGCAAATTCCGAGATATCCATCCAATTGGCCTGATGAGGGATCCGATCGTAAAAGTATCTGTACCTTACCTCGCGTCCTCGCCTCCCTTAACTCACTCGGAAATCGCCTCTGCATCCTGACAGGCTGACACTCAAGTCCGTTGACCGTCTACCATGCACTGGGCAAGAAGGTGGCGGCGTTTCCGGATCCTGAGGGGTAGATCGACGTGGCACTGGCCAACTACGCCTTGTTGACCGCTGTCCATGCCCCTGCTTACGCGCTTGCTTTTTGCCTGTTCCACCGAACGGTGTGGACGGAGGAAAGGCGAAACGGAACTCTGGGGCTGTCAGTGATGATATGAGCTCAGCTGGTTGGTTTGTGCCTTTTACCAGGAGGGCGGGGGTTCTCTGGTCTTACCCCTCACCCTGATTTCTGGATTTCCACGACGCATCCAGTTCAGGGTAATATCATTGGTGAGCACGCTGATAAGAACAGTCGTAATCGTGAATAATAAAGTGGTAAGTATTAATCTTTAGAGCAGTTGAGTCCTCTTAGGTATATCATGCCTGCACGGGGTACATTGTACCACTTGGAAAGCGGGGTATCGTTCGATAGCTGTAGATATAGACAGTTGGGGATAGTACCTACGAACAGGTACCTGCTTAAACCTTGTTACTCTAAGGTACATGGCTAGAAGTAGTCGGTAATATCGATTAATTAGCATGGATATCTCAAACACCCTAGTCCTGCAGGTAGAAAGCCACTATCTGCATCTTACCCCTCCGGCAATATCACTTCTGGTCCTTTTCCTGACTGAGCATCTGAGGTCAAATATGCATATTATCCTATTAATAGAATGTAGATATCATGAATCCTCTCCCTGCTCTATCAATCTTTCAACGTCGAATCCTCGTGGAATCTGCGGAGTATACTCGAGAGCCGTCCTCTCCATATATATACTACAGCTATTTATCTGAGATATTAGATATACATTCAAGGTCAAACATATGGCCCACCTCCGTCTCTCCAGTACGACGCACGTCGTGCATTGATATAGCGTATCACAAATCAGCAGTGCAGCCTCAAGATGCAAGACGCAAGAGCAGGACACGAGACCGAAAGTAAGCGCATCCTATATAGAGTACTCCAGAGTATATCCTATGCACACATCTTTTGCTTGTGGCCGTTATCTGGCATGTGGGCGAGTAAGTGGCATGGGGAAGGTTCATCTGTGCTCAGTAAACTCCCGTAGACTGCTGAATGTAAAGTTAATATGGTACCTTTTACTTTTGAGGGAACTCTGTTGTCTGAGTATGCATAGCTTGGCTGCTTAGATCTGCCTATCTTCAAAGTTTAGTTGGATTTCTCCGACGGGACTACGGGACTGGTTGACAATGATGAAGGGCTTGTGCCGGGACTCAGTATTGCATTTGGAGGGATATCAACGTTGTCAGTGTGGAACACGGTTGGAGCAGACGGCGATATCTGCATTGCATTCGGTCTCAAGGCACTGATAGCTGTGCATGCATTATTGATAAGGTACACAACACAATCAGCATTGCTCAAGCGCAAGACACGAGTCTACAACACCATGGCTAGCTCCAGTAATATAGGCCATACAGTCCCTCAACTATCACTCCGACCCAGTAGCAACACCCTGCGAAGAACTTGCGTTAGCTGCACCAGCCATCCCACGTCTCAGGTGTAACCCCCACACTAATCGGCGTACTGTGTACCTCATCCAGGAGTCGAATTCTGTCGTGCCGTTTGCTGCAGGTATTTCTGCTATAGAGTGCTTGCTCGCAGGGGAACGGAGTTGGCGAATAAGTATGTGATGTGAGGTGTTTAAAATTAGCCTGGGAGCGATTAAGGTAGCAGACTGAGGTGAGATATTCACGAGCTGGGTCATTGACAGTGCATATGTGGCCGTGGTGGTTACGCTCGGATATATGAAGACAACGCTAAGATAGCATTTCCCCCCAGCTAAATTGGTCGGGTCTTTGAAGATGTAGCCCTGACTCGAGTATTTCTTTCCTGGCAGTAGTGTTGGTCGAGCGACGATGACTACTGGTCGGGTGACAATGATAAATGGCGTAGTTGCTGCTCCTTGTACTTAAGCGTACCCAGCATATCTGAGCGACCAAGGACCCTGTCACATTCGTATGAATTGGACGACCATGAGTGTTCCTAGGTAGCAGAACTCGTTGGTGCCGCTCAATATATAGCCAAGGAGCGCCTAGCAATGACAAGGCTGAATGATCAAGGATGATATCAATGGCTTGCCTGTCATTCTTGTAGATCGTGTCTACCTCTCCAACGCACCCACAACAGACCCAACCATCACCGCTGCTTCTCTCTCCCAGTTCCCAGCCTCAGTTCCTGACCGCTTGTCTGTCACCAGTGTTGAGGCTGGGAGCTGTGAGCCCCGCAGGACGCATTCCCTAATATCCTTCCTGAGTCTATCCCGGTTTGACCGGAGCGTCCGTACTGAAACACCGCCGCGACTGACGATCTCCTGGACTCGCGGCGCCAACGATGAAGCTAACGATCGCCAAAAGTACGAAGGGAGAGATGTAGTATCCAAAACGTTCAGCAGCGGCTGGAGAAGGTTGTTCTTGGAGGCCACTTCTTGCTCTCGAACCTCTGTACCATTGCTGTCGCCTGTGCTAGGAGCCGAAGCGGGTAAAAGTGGGTGGGTTGGCGGACGAAGGCCGCTGAGGATCGCCTCGAGTGCAAAGATATCCTGACATCGTCCCGAGAGTTCAGACAGCGTTCGTTCGAGACTCGGAAGCATGGATAGTGATCGGGAAAGAGCGTTGACGGACGCCACGATGGCCGTGTGCATGTAGCCCTGCAATGCAGAAAGCAGAAGCTCTGGCTGAAAACTGGCTGGCGATGGTAACGTCTTCGGGACTGGAGATAGGATGTACAAGACGGTAACGGCAGAAATCAGCCGGGCTCGCGCGTCCCGGGCTTGACGGTATCCGGTTTGAGAATGCGAGCCCGCCGCGATGGACGACATGGAGAAGCGATTGATAGTCTGTTGCGCGCGCGCCTTGACCATATTCTCAGCCGGAATCACCAGCTCACCTCTCAAAGTCCAGATGACCTTGACACGTTCCAATCCGTAGCCTTCCTCTCCCACAGTGGTAGCGGAGAACATCCGTCGTAAACTCACAATGGTAGATGCGGCTCGCTCCAGCGCTCGGTAGTCCTCTCTGCCAGGGCTGGCAGAGGAGCGATCTTGTGCTCCTGCAGTCACTGCTGGGCCACTCCGACCAGTCACCTCAGAAAGCTGACCCTCCAACTGCCTGCCGAGAGCCAGACAACGCGCGACCGCTCTCGCTAATCGCACGGTTGCCAGCGACTTTTCCGCAGCCACTCTGGCTTCGTCTGCGGCCTCCCATTTACGTAACACTTCTTGCTCCAGGCGTTCATAGCCTTTGGTCACAGAGGATATCTGCTCCTCCGTCTCCTTGAGAATCCGCTCCGCAGCTGCGGTTTGATCCCGCGTGTGCGTAAGCAGAAGGATAGCTGACTTGCTTGTTAGATTGTGGATGTGAGTATCAATCTCTTGGAGATCAAACAGCACCCGTGACAGTGGTGTGGAAAGGTCCAACGGTGTGTCTGTTGCATTGTTGGTTGCCAGGACCAAGGAATTGGCAAATGATGCCGGTGAGAAGTCGGGATCCAAAAACGCCTCGTAGTCAATGTATGAAGGTTCGCTGTCTGCCATTTTGTCCACAATATATGCAGTCGAATTACTCTATTTGGAAGAATGGGTATCAGAAGAAAACAAGATGAAATGACGGATAGGAGGTAGATGGACAATTGCTAAAGGTCTTGTTCAATTGATGCCGCCACAGAAAGTCAAAAAACTCTGATTTAGAGAAACCATCCCGGATCTTGCTGAATGATGCTAGAATAGTGACAAAAGTCTCGAGTATCATTTATTGCCTCTAGAATTGAAGTTGTTGATCACTCTTTGATGCCGTTGGTAGATGCCATGTGTCAGTCACGTGAGTGATATTAGTCATACCTTTCCTTTCCCCAAGGCTGTGAAGGCATTCAGATGACAACTTCTCCCACTCAGTAGACGATTTTCGATTTTCGATTTAAGGGAACTTTAATAACAAAGCCCTGAAACTAGGGTATGATTGCTACATTGATGACTAAAGGATCATTACAGGATTTGGGCCAAGTCTCTATTACTGAAGAACGCGGCCATTGCTCTCCTCCACAATCAACTCAAACTCAGGCTGAAACTCGGTATAAAAATTATGCTGCGGCATGTCAGTTTGCACTCTGAGAATCAACACGGTGGACCTACTGGGTTCTGAACGGCGTCAGCAGTATACTGCGCCACTTCATGGTTGACAATCTTCTTAGGGACTCCATTCGCAGCCGCGGCATCAGCCATCAACTGCGAACGACATGCATTATCCAAACTGAAGAACAGGAATGCAGCTTCATCGACGGTGTGACCAACTGTCAGTAGACTAGGAGACGATCAGCTCTTGCACAATCGCCAGGCGCAATACGAAGATTCCCATACCCGTGGTTCTGCAGAATACAGGCGATATTCTTCTCGCCTAGAGCCTTTGCAATCTGCTCGCCCTCTTCCTGGGCTAGTGCAATGCCACCATGATCATCATATACGCTCAGCTTCCCGTAGAAGTTACAGGCGTCTACCAGAAGAGTCAGCGTTCGCCAACCACAACCCTTCACTGGTATAGGTATAATACATACCCTGAGTGAGCATTTCAACGGGCCGCCCAAATGCACTCCACGTCTTTCCATGAATCGAATGTGTATGCGCCGCAGCCACCACATCAGGACGAGCCTTGTGAATCTCAGAGTGAATCATGAACCCCGCCTCGTTGATGGGAAGCTGCGCTCCTCTCTCCGTCACGTAGCCCTCGCTATCGACCAGAACCAGGTCCGAAGCCTTGATGGTCGAGAAATGCTTCGCGAACGGGTTCATCCAGAAATGGTCCTTGAGGACGGGGTCTGCGGAGATGTCAGTATGCGGACTCATGTCTGTCTGTAAACCTCCCTCACCTCTCATCGAGATATGACCAGACACCCCCTCTCCGTAGCCCTGCTTTCCGAAGAAGCGAAACGCAGCCGCCATATGCTCCTTCGCCCATTTGCGCTGCTCGTAGGGGTCGGTGAAGGTTGGGATGCCTTGGAGCTTGAGTGTACCTTCGCGATTGCCGCGCGCGATGGCCTGAAACTTTTCATCTGCTGCGGCAGGAGTAATTTTATTTTCTGGGGTGACAACGAGCGTCTGCTTCGCGGCTTCAGTAATTGTTGTGGTTGACATTTTGGATGATACATATAAAAGTAGACAGAAATCGGATTTTAGCAGTGAGCACGACTATGTAGCATTAAACTCGAAAATAACTAAGATGTAAGGTACGCCCTCATATATCTTGCCAGCCGAGCAACTCTACCACCATATCGCCAATCCTTTACCTATACAACGCTTATCATCACTTGAATCGGACTTCGCGGGTCAACTCCGAACCCCCGCTTGACTTTAGGTTGCCTGATCGCTTGTCGAGTAGACGGCGCAAGGCTCCATGATTCGTCGCAAAGATGATGTACGTATCTCCAGCCGATTATTATCCGACCGAAGGATTCATGGAGAGATCGAGACACAACTGATTGGTAATGCTGTTCATTGCACTACTGCCTCGCCCTCCGCCCAAGTGCAATCCCCATTAAGATCGGCAAGAGAGTCCAATCTTATTAGAATGTAACTAAAATGTGCCTGCACATATCATGATGGTGCTACAGTCTCCTGCAATATATCCTCATCCACAAGCATTGCACATTAATGCACCGTCCACTTCAACGCCATCTATACAAATCCAACCAGCTAGGGTATACACAATGATGATGGTACGATGCGACGTAGCGCCGTATCCGGATCGCCAAAATTAATGATAAAATGAAGAATTCAGGGCGAAAGTGTCGTCCAAGTCCACAAGAGCATTATGCAGCCTGCTCACCTTTCATCTCCGTGAGTTCGTACTCGCCACTCCCCTCACCCAGGTTCCGCCCTCGGCCGCGTCCGCGTGATGGCAAGAACGGTTCGTTTTCAACATCGTCAGTCTGTGGTTGGGATGGACTAGAAGACGACTGCGCCGTGCCCCTACCGCCTGCTATCCCGAACGTGATAGGTCTGAGTTCCCGCCACTGGCAGGCCCAGATACCCAGAGAGGTCATCAGAGCTGCGCTGGCGCATTGAAGACCCCACCAGAGCAAGTTGCGGGGTATTGAGCGGGTGTAGAACGACGTCGCGATGAGATGGAGGAAGTGGATTGTCAAGGCGAAGTCAGGGATGAGCTTTGAGCGGGACACGAGGAGGAGTAGGAATATCACGCTGTCAATCAAATCCGGTCAGCGAACCGAGCTCTTGCAGGGGTGAGAAGGCGTAGACAATACCCAAGTAAACTGTTCAACATCCATACTAATCCCAGCATCCACCCTATTGTTGTGTCCCCCTTAAGGCATCCCAGCTGAAAACTAAATCGAGAGAGAACCCCGTCCCGTAGACCAAAGTTGTGAACAGAATCAAGGCTGTAGCGGAGACATAGTAGGCAGTCTGCAGGAGGATGATCTTTCGAACAATCTTCAGCGGTGGAAGGTCTGTTCGGGACCCCGCGGGAGCCCGTCGGCGCGGGGCATGAACTATCGATAATGTATCGACCCTGGTGATGATTCGAATATTGTTTATGGAGAACGAGCGAGCGGGCTGGACAGTCTGGAAACGGACTTCTGCGAGTGCAAGCGTAGATATCGAGCAGATTCAGGATCACTTATGTATTTCGTAGGCAGTATCCAAGATTATCTTTTGACTTAAGCTGCTGTATCCCGCGGTTGAGTCAATTGATGATGAAAGTCAGAAGACGACTTGAAGCTGTCCCAGCAAATGACATGTTAGCGCCACAGCCGACAAGCCACGCGGAGCCGCCAATGCGGAATCCCCAGTGGAACTGAAGACACCCAATTCCTACCTTACAGATCACATTTGAGACGATTCTACTTCTCACTCTTCTTCCGCTGTACTCATATTACCACTCGAATCTTATTTAATATACCTTGATCAAAATGGGCTGGCTCCCTTGGTCCTCCGACGACTCCACCAAAGCCTCCGACGGCGGCCGTATAGCCCCAGACCGGAGCTCCCGCGAAAAGTGCTGGGAAGGCCGGGATCTATTCTTCTCCTGCCTGGACAAAAATAACATCATCGACTCGATCAAGGAAGATAAGGAAGCGCGGCGCCAATGCGGAAAGGAACTGGCACAGTTTGAGGGGGCGTGCGCGAAAGCTTGGGTATGTACCTCCTTCCCAGTCTTGAGTAGTTCGGGAGATAGCTTTCTAATCGTTGTTCCTGCATAGGTCAAATACTTCAAGGAGAAGCGGGTAATGGAATATAACCGGGACAAGACAATCGAGCGCATCAAGAAGGAAGATGCAGCCAAAGTTGCGGATCTCAAGGCACAAGGGTGGACGCCGAGGTGAGGCGTGTGCTATCGCGGAGATGAAGAAAGAAAAAGAAAAGAGAAGAGGAGATTACTTATTATGAATGTACTATATTACATTATATCGCCTCTCATAACGACTGTTGAATGAGATCTTGTATAATATTCGTATCTACCCAGTCGTCTCATTGTGCAGCATCCGAAGTCAAGATCGTCCTATTGCTCTACTCTAGCGGTGGATTCGCTCAACGCAGTGATATTAGAGGTAAGTGGTAATCCATAAAGATGTCATGACAACCCAGACGTGGAAGTCATTTCCTGCCATATCTAACCTTTGAATGCCTCGAAAGGATAACCCTGCACTCCTGTCGCAATGTCTTGGACAAAACAGAAAAGTAGCATCAAAGCCAACAACCAGCCATAAAACGCGGTGAACAATGGCCAGTTCATCCCATGACTAATTAATTCAACGGATATTCATGAACAAAACGCCAAGCTCCATGGTATTCCGAAATTTCAGAACAGAAGCAAACGAAGAGAAAAGAGAGAAAGGTGGGAGATGTACATTTAAAAGAATTACCGTCGATCATTGCTTCCACTTGCTTAACTGATTCATAATGTTTTGAACGTGAGGATTCATAGTCGCCAAGTTCTGCTGCTGTGGTTGCTGTTGTCCACCCAGGCCCTTGGCAAGCAATGAGATCAGATTCGGATCCGGAATCACCGGAGCATTGGTGACTGGGACCGAGTACTGCGGAGCCAGGTGTTGTTGAGGGTTCGTAGGAATAGGTGGCCGCGTTGCTCCGCTCAAAAGGCTTGCGAGATCTGCAGTGGTATGAGGCATGTTGCTAGCTATAAAGGGTTGTGCAGCGGGAACGGGTTGTTGCTGTCGCTGCTGCAGTGCACTCAAGAGAGACTGAAGGGTAGGCCCATCAAGAGACGAAATCATATTCGCGACATTGGAAGAAGCAGGAACCGCCGGCAATGGTGCCTGAGGAATGGGCGCTGTGGGAAGTGTCGGCATGGCGAACGCTGGGTTGGGTGGGAAAGGAAGTGAAGTAGCACCGCGCTGCATGGCTTGGGCATGAAAGACGATCTCGGCGGCGATGTTGGGCTCGACTTCTGGATATTCTGTACAAAATACATAAGCATAAAAGGTTGCGTGCGCAGAGATGACTGGACATAAGGTTACTGACCATTGAAGCGAACATTGTCTGACCCACCACTGCGATCAAAGACCTGTAAAGGTATCTTCCTTGAGAATTGGTTCGGACGAGACAGTCTCACAACAGCAAGAACCCCTTCTTTAATCTGTCGCTGAACTGCCGCGTTCAGTGGTATGCGAGGACCTAACACCAGGACATCGACCCGAAGACCTCGATTGCGGAAGGCATTCTCGACGTGGAAGATGAAGTTGCTAAAGGGGACATTAGAATTGCACCATCGACGAAGGCGTGAGCTAGACGATGTAAACTTACCGGTCAACTTCTTCAAGAACCAAAATCTGCACTTCCGGGACATCTCTCGGAGCTCTCCTGGGCACTGGCAAGTCCGAATCACTGTCGTATGAATTGCGACCCCTGGGGCTAGGAGTCCGATAACGTCTATCTCTCCCGTATGGTGACCGAGTACGGCGTCTCTCACGTCGATCATATCTTTCAGGATCAGGACTTCTATCCCGAGACCTGTATCCATCTCTTCCTCGGAACGGACGCGGAGATGGCGATCGTGGAGGGGGTCGATAATCGTCGCGTCTGCGGTGGCTCGGCTCATCTCTAAAGTCACTAAATGGGACTCTACCTGACTCGTAAGGTCGATCATAGCGATCTCCCGAAGCCCTCGGATTACGGCTGCTGGGAGGACCGCCTCTGCTGTATTCCGGGGACCTGGACCGTCGGGGTGGAGGACCACGAGATGGCTCAGGTGGTGGTGGTCCTGCCCGAGTATTCCTCTGCGGTTTTGAAATCTCAAGGTCTGCGTAAGGCAGAGTCAGTCCAGGTCCGAATATTCGCAGGGACTGCAGTGCCAACTTACGAATTTTCCTACCCCTTATCACAGCTCCTTGCTCACAATCGAGCGCATGCTTGCAGGCGGAGGCGTCGACGAATTGGATGAAACCGTAGGCTTGCTTGATCGATATCTGGGCCAGTTTGCCGTATTGGTGAAAGATATGAAACAAATCTCGTTTTGTGACCCTCTCCGTCGGTAGATTACCTGAATTGCCGGCAAGGATTAGATAAGGGTCAGACACCAAAGGTTTAAGTAGAAGTGGCAGAATACTGACCCACGAACAACCGGGACCCCGCTGGGAAGCGATCCCAAAGTCCCTCCGTTACGTACACTCTCTCATCATGCAGGAATTGGTCATATTTTCTCTGTACGTCTGGACCCCACGGAACATCTTCGTCTCCGGGTTTGACGACACGACCGACCGGCTTCTCGACGCGACCATTCGGAGAAGCTGCCGTTGCAGGGGGCTCCTGAGACGATTCTGCGGTAGAGGGCGCCGGTTGCTGGAAGCTGGGACCAGGTGGTGGAGGCAACGAGCTGGCGCCCGAGGCGGTTCCGGGAGCGCCAGAAGCAGCCAAGGAAGGAAGCCCTAAGTTGGATTGATAATTACTTTGCTGGGAAGGGTAGGTAGTGGATGTGCTGGCAGGGTGAGGGTGGAGTTGATGATACGAACGGATATCATCGGTGGGATGGTAATTAGGATGGATAGAGGGCTTCTCCTGGGGCGGGGGCGAGGGGGAAGGCCTTGAGGAGCTTCAGAGACGTCGTCCGCAGACGAAAGGGCAGTCTCCGAGGGTAGGGGAGGAGATGGAGCGGCAGTAGAGGGAGGAAGAAGATTATCGAGGAGGTTTTGGAAGTCCACACCACCCTCACCAGTATTATCTTCGGGTTTGGCTTGGGAATCTAAGCGATCATGCGGTGCCGACTGCGCGGTCCAGCTGGCGACGGCGTGATTTACCTCGTTCGCGACGGGCAGGATCTGGGCAGCCTGAGAGGAGGCAGAGGGAGGGACATCGGGGTTAGGGTGAGTTAGAGGGGAAGCAGGATCTGACGAAGGAAGAACAGTTAGAGATGAGTTTGCTGCTATGGCCGGCGCAGTAGAGGAATCCACGTCTGCTACTGCAGACTGATCTGACGGAAGGGAAGGCTTAGCAGTTGCTGTCCCCGCAGAAAGTGAAATCTCATTTTTCTTGTCCACTGATCGATCATCCGCCTGCAAAGAACCAGTGTGAAAGCTACCTTGTGTTTGTGTCGACGGTGGAGGTTGATGGTATTGTTGATAGTGATGATGGTCCAGCGCCTGATACTTGGTCACGTTCTCCGACCCTGCATAGTGTCCATTATGATGGTGCATCTGGAAACCATTTTCAAGGTCTGACAAGGGCGTGTCAAAATAAGTCGACGTATCATTGAACACTGGGTCCATTTGGTTCTGCAGCACAGGGATCTTGGTCGGTGCCGCGACGTGTAGCGGACGAGGGCTCTCTGGAGTCAGAGTTTTGCCTCGAAAGTGAAGAGCTTCATCTGGAGAACCCGGCGTCATGTAGACAACAGACAGGGTGGATCACTTTCATCTACAAATACCGCAAGAGACTGCGAAGGGCCACAAAGTGATAAGAGGGGGAAGATTTCGCAGTCGAAGTAGCTCGGGTGGGGCTATCTTCGCAAAAGGCACCGGGCCCTTCTTTTTGATTTTCTTTTTTTCTTCTTATCCCAAGGCGGTAAGGCGGAAGAGCGGAGAGGAGTTGAACCAAAGGGTCCAAACTCAGTTGGAGTCAAGCAGACACGGAGGATTTTCTTGCAGGAGTAAAAGAGATCATAGAGAGAGTGGGATATTGAGGAGGAAATGAATTAAGGATGGAGATGAGTTGTGGGTTGATGCCGCTTGACGGAGAAGTTGGGGATGACGGAAGCAAATAACAGGGATTTTGAAATAGATGAACTTGATCAACAGCAGCACGTCGGTCGACAAAGTTCTCCAACGAGCCGTTTACTCCAACACCTAGAAACAACAGTAAGGAGAGAAGATTATGATTATCGGTCAAGAGAGTGAGGACGTTGAGTAGAGAATTATCAAAAGTAATCTACGCGGAAGGTCTCGTGGTTTGGAGTATCTACCATTATTATCCTGGCTCCCATCGTCAAAGAGGAATAGCAGGCACTATCTTCTGTGCATCTCGATAGTCTGTTGTCTAGTCTATCACCTACCGAGTGTGCATGATTGCTGGGAGCCGATGTGGGATCCTCGGACTCTCATGCTAAGCTCTGACTGGACGGGCTTTTATTCTAGTGTTAAACCAAGAACCATCTGGATCTGCTGGAAGCATTACTGCTGAAACAGGGAGCTATCCATAAGGTTCTTAACGTACCCCATCTAGTCCAACTACATAGCGCCATGTCCTACTACGTACCTATTTTTGCTGGCTTGCTACCAACTATTCGGCTAATTAGTCACAAACACAACTAGCCTTACAACTAAACCTGTCATCTCGATGCTTTCCAAGGGTCCAGAACCATCCATCACGGAGTATTACCGCTCTTCTCCTGGGTTCTCGCTTCATGTGAGCTGAGGATGGTTAGGAAGGGAAACACCTGTTGTGTAGACTTGAAAGCTGCCGATATGGTGTTTCGATAGCTTCAGAGTACCAAATCTGATATTCTTATCTGAGTTTGGTTAAGAAACATATAGACTAGTGCGTGCTTCTCTCTTAAGATGGACTCTGTTCATTCTATCCCGACAATAGTCTAGAAATTCCTCAGCGTAGAACGAGTCCCCGACAGACGACTTTCTTGTCCCCGGCCGAAGATATATATCTGTCTCAGAGGTCATTTGATTTCAAGTACTGCCAATGGTTTCTCTCTCCGCCTTTGTTCGATGTCTTTCTAGTCTACTTTGCTTTACCTTAATCTACGATTTACTCGAAATACTACTACACAAGTATAACTACCGATTACACTGCACACCGTGCCTACCTTACCAACCAGCCAAAGACTCGAACCCTCGGTCAAAGGAAAAAAGGAAGGAAAAAAGGAGGGAAAAAAATTCTAACTGTCACGAGATATGCCAACCCGATTCCTTCGATTTTTCAGCAAAGCCCCGCTGGTCCCACCATAGCAAGAACCTTTGCTTCTAGACGAGCAGCCGCGAACAACGGACGCGATACCAACCATACCACCGCCGAACCAGACGAAAAGGACCTCACCGCAGCCCGCGAGTGGCTTAACAAGTTCAATTCAAAGACAGTCACAATCCCTCGTGACATCTGCGAGATTTCCTTTAGCCGGTCCGGCGGTCCTGGCGGTCAGAATGTTAACAAGTCCGTTCCTCTCCCATGTAGCTTTATCCTGCACTAAGAACATTCATTGATCAAGCCTCCTTTGACTGGCCGAGTCCACGTCAGAGCACTCGGAACGTACGCCTCAGTAGACTAACATCTCATCGCATTTCCCCAATAGGGTAAACTCAAAAGCCACATTGAAAGTACCCCTCCAGTCTCTCTTGCCTCTGGTGCCGCGGATCCTACATCCTCATCTCCGGTCATCCCGTTACTACGCGGACAGAACACAGACGCTGGTTATCCAGTCTGAAGAGTCGCGGAAACAGGCCGCTAACGTGGAATCCTGCTATGAGAAACTCTGCCATTTGTTGAAAACGACTGCAGAAGATGTGATCCCTGGAGAAACATCCGAAGAGCAACGGGACAAAGTGCAGAAATTGTAGGATGCCTTCCTTGTCATATGCATTATCTACAGGATATTGAACAGTTCTCACAATTGCAACAGGAAGAAGGCTGAAAATGAGGCCAGAATCAAGGCAAAGAAACTGCACAGCAGCAAGAAGAGCAACAGGCGGGGTAATAAGTATGATGACTGATAGGAAGCTAACTTTTAAACACTTTGAAAGAGAGAACAAGCTTCGTCTTTCTTTGCTTATGGACCTAAACAACCCTGAGGAATGCCTGCGATAAAGAACTGAAGATGCATCGTCTACTCCTGCTGAAGGACCCGCTCGGCACTGTGGATGGTGGCGGCAATGACCTTTTGCAAGGCAGGGTCCAAGTCCTCTGTCTTCTGGAACGGTTGCAGCCAGCTGACCACCTCCTTGGCGACATTCGGATCTTGCCGGTGCTCCTTCAAAATCGCAAGAGATGCACGCAATGCCCGAGGAAACTCGGGAGATGTCGGTCGGATCCCGGCAGTTGGAAATTTGATGTTGCATATATGCGTACGGTAGCTGTTTGGTCTGTGCTGCGACATCACCTCAACTACATGTCCCAAGATCTTGCGCAGGCACGGTAAGTCTTCGAATTCGGAGACCATGTCGTAGAACTCGTAGCCGAAGCGGTCATCGTTGTTGAAGTTCGTCATCGCTGTATCAAAGACGGCCAGCGGGACGGCGCCGCTCAGAGCAGGCGTCGAGTTCAGATTTTCCAGAGCAACGTGATCAACTCCGTCTTCATCTCCGGCGCTAGGGTTGATATCTTCCCCAGTGATTTTAGGTAAAGCGATCATATCGGCATTAGGGTCATCAAATCCAGATCCTTCGGCCGGGTTAGGCGTTTCAATCTTCTGGTCCAAGCCCAATATCCGCTGTCGAGCGACAAGCTTGGCGATGTAGATTAATTCGAGTTTCGCATAGTGCAGCCACAATTTCCTTGAGCTCTTGCAAAATCTCAGACCTCTTTGCATATAGGTTCGCGACATTGTCATATCTGCATGATCATCCAGATTGTACTGTGCTGCGTAGATCCATAGGTCCACGCTGGTAGGGTGAAGCCGTAAAGCATCCGTGAATATCGTCGAAAGCTTCTTGTACGCCTTCTGCTGGCGGGCATACTCAATATACTGAATCCATAGGCCGAGATCGCCGTGGAACTTCCGAGTAGCTCGATCGAGAATGAAGAAAATCCGTCTTTGGCCCGAATGGCCTCCCGACCTAATACCTAGTCGCTTCACTCTCTTGCGTCGCAGAGCATCAAGATTTATCTCGTATTCCGCGTATCGCACAAAGTCGGATGGCTGAGCACCGCGAGCGTTCAGTTTGTGCTCGAAATCTGAACGTCTCTTGACAATGGATAAAATCTCATCCTAATGATAACGAGCATTGTGAGTGACTATATTTTGTGAAATGGCTGGTTGAGGACTCGCACCTTGCTAAATATTTTTTTCTTCTCAAACTCCTTGAGTTCTGGCACTGACTGCTCCAGGTAGAAGCGTGCTTTATCTGTTGCAGCTGACATGATGGCTGTTATTGCTGGAGAAGACCGTCAAGACGTTTCGCAAAAGTCCTCCAATGCAGGCCAGAAAAAGTTGTCGGCATCCCGCTCGATATCTCCGATCTACTTGTGGGCTGTGACCGCCTTCCTTTCCGGGACTCGTCCCTTTTGTTGCATGTGTTCGCGCGCTCCTCCGCAGGTTACCGAGTTCCAACCTGGCCATTTCACATCTCAGGGGGTTCCTCTGACTGCTGACAGTTTCTTTTTCTATTTATTTTCTTTATTTGATCGTTTATATTCTTGACGCTCTTTTATATTCTTTTCTCGTCTGTCGTAGCTTTTTGACTTTTCGAACGCGCGGAGTGTGGGCCCTGCTTTTCTTGCGCTACTATGGCTCCCAAATTCAAAGATGGGGATGCTGTTGTGGCGGTAAGCTGATACAAACCCAAATAATTTCAGGCGATCCACTAAGGCAATGTCAGATCAATGGTAAATGGGTGTCATGGACACATACAGCGGTCGCCTATACGGCGTTCCTGAGCGCTCTTGTAGTGGGAATGTCCCTACATTTCCACAAGATCGTGCAGAACGAACACTATGGATATCCGGATGAATGGTTCCCTTCTGTGTCAGCTACAATTGGAGATCGATATCCGGAACGCTCATTCTTTCAAGTCTTCATCGCCATTACGTCCGGTCCTCGATTCGCTCTCGTTTTCCTTTGGTATCTTCTTACTGCACGGCCTAACTCGACTCTTCCCAAGATCGTTGCTGGTGTTGGGCTGTTCCGGACGTTTACCTGTGGTGGTTGGACATATGTCACGTCGACCGACGACCATGATTGGCATGATATCTTCATGATTTCTTACCTCGTCGCGACATTGCCTTGGACCCTTGGTTGCCTGGCACTCAGTCCCAACAACCGCCGCGCCGTGAAATACAGAAAGATCATGGCAGGCCTGTTCTTTGGCACCCTAGTACCGCTGATCTACTACTTCATCCAACACAAGGTGCACAAGGTCGCTGGTGGTGAGTTTATTCTTGTTCGTTGTTTGGCATGCTGTTCTCTAACAACTCTCTCCGAAGCCTATACGAAATATGCCTTCTTCGAGTGGTCTCTTATCTTGTTCGACGTGGGATTCGATGCGGTCATGGCATTGGACTTTGATGCATTTGAGATCGTGGTGAGGGACGTGAAAGGGGTTAGCAGAGGGTATGTACCGTGGCTCCCAAAGTGAACCAAGCAAAAAGGGAAAATGTAGAGTGGCCGAATATTGGTTGTTTGGATTTGAAAACATGTCCTAAGCTTCGAAACATTAGGCAGTTGAAGACTACTGCGGACTCTGTTCTTGAAAAAGAGTGTGTATTTCCCGCTCACCAAGACATTTTGGTTTCACTGTTGACTCGTAGTTAGGAAGGGCAAGCCTGTTGGAAACACCTTTGGTGAGGGTTTCTTCTGGTCTGAAGTCCTGGACGCCGCCGCAGACGTCTACAACGGGGTAATACCTATCCTTGATTTTCCTTGCATCATGCGCATTTACTGACTGACCACAGTATGTCTTCTGGTCCATGGCGACTGCTCTCGGACTTCTTGTTTGGTGTAAGTTTAGGTTTTATTCTCTAAAGGCTATTTCTAATAACCGTTAGATTTCCCTCTTTGGCACATGGGTATCTCTGGGTATGAGGCCGCTATTATCGCCTACATGTCACCTCTCCTTCTAGCAATCCCTACTCTGAAGACCGCGGTGGCCAAGTACCCACGGCTTTTTCACTTTCTGTCACTTTCTGGACTGCTCGCCTACAAGGTGCAGAATCCTACCAACAGACTCTTTGTGACTACTTTCAGTGTTGCCTGTAATGCTCTTACATGGTCCGGTATTTTCCACGCGGAGAAGACCCAGAGCTCCCGCTTGGAGTCTCGGATCCTTGCCTGGGGCATCGGTCTGATCATGTCTAGCGTCGCCAAATTTGCATGCAGCACCAACAATCCGGTCTGGCCCACTATGCATGCAGAGAATAGTGGATGGAACAAAATGGGTCTGCTCCTTGGTATCTTGGCTGTTCTCCGATCTCACAGGAAGCCTGTACCAAGTGGAGGGGACTATTTCCCCTCCACCGGCAAGAAGGGTCCTTCCCTGTTGGCCGCATTCGGTATGGGTGGCCTTCTATTCGCCATGCACTCTCTTCTGTCTGATTCAAGCACCATGATTTCATGGGTCTGGGAGGGATATCCGGTGAGAGGACCAATCGCTGTGCCTCACGGTGTGCTTACAATCTTCGCGATGGGGGCCGGTCTCATATATGGTCTCTTCTGCCCACGCGTCGCTGGAAGTTGGACTGCTTTCGGTATCGGTTCCCTCGGAGCTGCGCTACTTACATGTTACAGCCACTGGACTGGATTCTATGGCGGCCTGGTCCTTGCGTTTTATGTCATGGCCGTTGCCCCCGTCTTGGTCTCTTCGGCTGCTCGCCATTCTCCCGCCACAACGTTCGGTCTCGGAGGCCTTGTCTACGTCTTCTTGATCCTCTTCCACGTATGGGTTGTTGCTTATGCGTTTGTTCCCGGCGGTCCACTTGTTAGAGAGCACACAGACTGGCTTATTGCCTCCACTATGATCTCCATCGGTGCTGGAGTCTTTTCTGCCGCAATTACAAACTCTTCTAGCCCGAAGGCCAAAACTATCAACCCGAACGGCAGGAGGCAGCGGTCGTACTACGTTTACGTCCTCGCCGTGCTGCAGCTTCTTTCTATTGCCATCGCATATCTGCGATTCCCAACCAATGACTACACACCGTATCATAAAGAGGACAAGGTTGCCACCCTCGGTATCTGGACGGTTCACTTCGGTCTCGACAACGATATGTGGTCTTCCGAGCGACGTATGCGCGATGTCATCAAGGAGCTTGAGATTGACGTGATCGGTCTGCTGGAATCTGACACCCAGCGCATCATCATGGGTAATCGCGACATTAGTCAAGTTCTGGCGGAAGAATTGGGCATGTATGCAGATTTCGGACCTGGTCCTAACAAGCATACATGGGGCGCTGCTCTGCTCTCAAAGTTCCCCATCGTCAACTCAACCCACCATCTGCTTCCTTCGCCCGTCGGCGAACTGGCACCCGCTATTCACGCAACTCTGGATATGTATGGTGAGCTGGTGGACGTTGTTGTCTTCCATTCTGGACAGGAGGAAGACCCCGAAGACCGTCGCCTACAGTCCCAGTATCTGGCAAAACTCATGGGCGAATCGCCTCGTCCGATGGTTTTGCTGAGCTATCTGGTCACCAAGCCGCTTGAAGGCAACTATAACACGTATGTCAGCGAGCTAAGTGGCATGAAGGACATTGACCCTACAGACTGGGACCGGTGGTGCGAATATATTCTTTACAAGAGATTGAAGCGGACAGGCTACGCCCGAATCAGCCGGGATAGTATTACCGATACTGAAATTCAGGTGAGTGTCTAATCATAAATCGTCTATCTGGCTCTATTCGTTTACGCTAATCTGTCAATTAGGTTGGCAAATTCGTCATCGGAGAGCCCGAGCCCGAGAACGAAGTGCGCATTCCCGAGGAAATGATCGCTGAGGGCCGTCGATTCCCCGCGATGTTCCGTGGCCAGGGTGTCCGTGGTCACCGTTACCATGTTTTCGATGAGCCAAGGTACTGGCAATAGATCTGCCTTTGATCGGAAGCTGGCTTGTCTCACGGTAGCAGCTGGAAAAAGGTGTCCATCCCCTCTATATTGTAATCTACCAGATCAAGGGGTCATTCTCAGGCCTAACCGCTGCGCCAATGTATTTTTTGAGGCCGAATGAACATAGGAGTTTCCTTTCTTCGCCGAGTCGTACATAGCTTTTATACTTAGCAATAATGCAGGCTGCATAGCTTTCTCGATGGGCTAACTCATATGTCTTGGTAAGGAATCAGATGATTGACTTGATGCAGGTCATGTTGGAGACGCCTCAGGCTCTTATGATTTGCTTCTGGCGTAGCAGGTCAAGTGTCCCACCCTATAGTATCTTCCCTCGCTCGTCCTCCAAGATAGCTTCCCAGTCCAAAGAGCACTTGTTCAATTTGCTCTCTCCTGCATAGTGCTGTCGGTAGATCATGGTTGCTTTCCAAGGGAAATTGAGCTATGGGGCATGTAGTACAAGACGCGTACGTCTCTCCAGCAGACATTGACAAGTGGGACGGACGGTACTGATATAGCGACGTCCTTACTGCTCACGTATCCATTCTCACTCTGTGCCAGCCCTCAGGAACAGAGCATACCTGAAACCCCCTTCGAAACGGACAGTGGCAAGAGACTACGTACTCAGGTGTCACGAATCGCTGTTCCCTGTTCTGAGACTGCATCCGGCTCGATGATACCGATGCTCATATCACTGATTAAAGACCTAGATATGAAGCGTACGCGTCTTCAGGCCTCGTTACAAAGAGAAATCCACATTTCAAGGCTCCAATAAATCACTCTTGCTATCTTACTGTGTTAATCTTTCAGTGCGTGGACGTTGCTGTTATTGCTTCTGTGATTCCACTCGTGTCCTAGGCCAGGGCCACTGCTGTCCAACCGTTCCTTGATTATTGAATTCCAGAAGAGGTCGTCCGGATAGGATCCTTGGGCCTCGTCGATAATGGGGATAGTTCCCGGAGCCAGATAATCCTTCTTATTTGGATTAAATCTTGTCCATAACATACTGTCAAGATTGCTCCAGGCGTAATGGAAAGTGTTCTCTTCTGATGAAGGGTATCCATCAAGCTTGCTCCATGTGTTGAGATAGATGGATTTTCTCCCCTTAACCTTATAATATTGCTGCAGTAGGTGAGCCAGTGTTATTTTTCCACTCGCAGGGGTCCCCAGTACATGGACGACTTTCTGGTCATCAATGAAGTCGGAGAGTTTTGAGAATGTCTCTAATCAAGGACAGAAATACTGATCAGGAATGGAAGCTGTTCATCATACTTATCATCATTTATGCCTTGTGATGATTGAGGACAGAATCTAACATATTTTCAGCTGGCTGCTTCCTTGTTGTGTTGAATTGACCTCTCCCAAACTTGCGTCTTTATGTTGGCCGAGTGGATGGCAACAATCGTCACAGGGAGTATCCAGCTTTAGCTGTCCACCCATAGACATTCCGATGAATTTTTTACAAGGACAGGGGATGATGATATTCCCGATCTTCGCGGGAGAGTTTTAGGGCCTAGACATAATTCGCAGAACTGGAAGCTTCGGAGGTCCTTGTTGAAACCGGCGTGACTGTGGTTGTAGAATAACTGAGACTCATAGTGTATAGGATCAGTCAGAAAATGGAAAATGGATAGACATTGGACGATACTGGGAGAACTGGGAAAGAGCTCTCACGAAAGAAGGGAGTGGGCAGCATAGATAGGCACATTCCTCGGGAAATCCTGCCTTACCATCAGTCTAATAAGTGAATAAGTGCTCGTGAGTATACTCCTTGAATGGTAACTGATCTATCAGCTTAATAGGTCATCTGCTGTCATCGGCTCATAACATCATACCTGGACATGGCCTATAAGTCCCCTTACTCTTCTAGGTATGAGTCCTCATGTTACGAGGACCTATAATAGCTTTATAAGAGAACCAAGAAGAGAAGTTATTATTTCATTTTCTTTTAATCTGTTTTAAGTTGTAGCTTATGTGGCCGTATATCTCTTGAGCGGTAGTAGTATGATCCTTAAGTAGGGCTACAGAGAAGGTACTACTACCATCCCTATCTGTAAAAGAGTAAAAGGAAACAAGCCTCTTAAAAAATTCAGGAGCTGTGAGATGAAGAGAGTCAACTCCTTAATATGCTAGCTAAGAAAAGAGGGCACGAAGTCACGACACGAGCAGAGGCATCTCTTCACTGGTGCATCCACCAACCTGCGGCTCCTGCTTCCTGGTCATTGAACTCCGATATGCAGAGAACTTTACTATCTACATTGACACTCGCTCTGTTATCATCTCCCCCCTGCGTCTGTTCCCGCCAGGCTGGGTGTTTTGACCGGAATCTTCCGAGGAATGCGCCTACACTTTCTTTGTTGCTCCTTTGTCCTCTTTCAGCGCCGCCGGTGTCCATTCCAAGGTCCAGGGCACGAGTTCAAGCGCATGGAAGGGGAAAAGAACAACCTGGAGGATTTCTCCATTCTTTGGCTTTCCTTTCCCCTCCACCGTACGGGAAGAGAGTGTGGCCACTGACGTGATGGAAGTTTTAGGATAAGGGAGAATTTTTTTTTTCGGCCCTACGAGGTAGGGAAGGGTGACTGTTCATTGATTCTTCCTTGATCTTTCGCCGAAATATTGCCTTCTGCTTCATCTGATGTGGGTGGATGAATCTCAGTTAGCGAGCTCTTGGATATCACTATCTCGTGGTCTTTTGAAGTTGTGTGGCTCGGCTATCATGTTTCCTTTCTCTGTATAGTTCGCTGAGCGCTTGGAACTTGCAATCTTTGGTCTGTTGGGCAGTTTCGTTCTTCCTTAGAGGACTTTGACTTTGCAAGTGTTTATGCTAGTACCTTTGGGCTTTCAGTGGACCGGGGACACTTTCTTTGTCTCGTTCAACAAAGCGGATATTTGGGTGCTGGATCTAGGGTATATACGGAACAAAGGACTTTGCAAAATAGGTACGTTCGGCATTGAAGGGTCTACGATCCTTTTCTTTTCTTTTTCTTTTTTTTTTAAAAAAATGGACACTGATTCTCAGGAGCGTAGTTGTCTGATTCATAAGATAAAGTACTGGCCCCACGGCTCCCTGGTTCTTCAGTATTGTCGAAATTGTGCTTCTAATACTCAAGAATACATCACTATAGGTATGTGCAGTTCGGTGATACCTTTCTATTGAGCCGAGACTAACATCGTTAGATCTTAGATCTGGTTGTCTTTGATCGTAGAGGATACCTTTCAACACGCCAAGATGCTGGCATCACCGATACGGCAACAGGGCCGAGAACGAAAAGGCTCTGACTCCGATAAGCCGGAAGCTGAACATGTGGAAGAAGCTGGCATGTCTGGAGAAGAGACCGAACGAGCTCCAGGGGAACCGCAGTCAGAAGAGCCTTGGGAATTATACCGCCGCGGCCTGAAGCCTTCTGCAAAATTACTTGAGGATGCTCGCGCCTCGCTTCGAGGGACTATGCTGGACCAGACGAAGAAAGATAAGGCAATAAAAGAAAACAAGGTGCTTCTGGCGGCCATGATGCGCCGGATCTTCCCAACGCCGCCTGCTCCAGTCCATACTAAACCAGCGCAGCCAGCGAAAATGCCGCAGGTGCCGCAGGAGCAGCAGGCGCAGCAGTACCCAATTAACCAAATTGCTGTAGGGCCTCGTGTCTCTTTCGGCGAACATGGTGCGTACCCCCGGTGGGTGCTCGTACCAGCTCCACAGCAGGGAAACCAGCAGCTGCCTTCGCACAAGCTGATGTGGGAATTCGAGCCCGGCCCACCCTCTGGTTGGGGTGGTCTGACGAAGGAGCAGCTGTACGAGTGGTCGTATAATTGGCAAAGAGCCTGGATTGAGGATCCCGAGGGAAGGGAGGCAATAATCTCGCACTTGCGATACGGGCCTCTTAAAGAGCTTGTGAAAGGCGTCGCTCAACCTCTGCCGCCTCTTCCAAATCCCCCAGCCACCAACTTCTACCTGAAACCAGTTACTCCTCTTGCTCCGGCTCTCTATGAGACTTGGCGTTGGTCCTACAAGAGGGACTACACACGTCCGACTGCCCCAATCCGGCAAGGCATGTACAGCAGAGGGTTGAACCCCGGGCAGCAGGGAGTAGGCGATGAAGAAAATCAACTTCCTGGCATCGGTACTTACCGCAACCAGTACGGCGCAAATCGCCTACGGGCTGAGGCAGGCCCTGCAAAACCGCTAGCCCTTGACGACGGGCAAGAGCCTGCAATTGGTGAGTACAAGTGGATTTGGTTCATTGTCATCATTCTGGTCATAAGCATGTTTCTGTGTCTTTTCCTCTATGTCTTCAAGATCATCAAGTGATGTAATTAGCAATCTGTCAATGCGGACTTAAGGTCTGTTTCTCCAGTCATAAGCTGCTATGCATCTGGTGTTTCCATTGGACGCATATGATCGGTGAAACGGCCAGTCTCGCTTGCATTCCTCATCCCCCCTTGCATATGGCATTCCACTGGTTCCCAAATCTTGCATGATCGGGCCCGATGAGCTAATAATTCTGCTTTGTGAACAGATGCGGATCCGAATCGTCAGACAGTCGAGTCTAGTCTTGACCTGGATGCCATGGATGGTGCACCTAATGGTTTGCCCATGACATCGTGGCCAAAACCTGCTGTACAAGGCCCAGGTAAGAGAGGTAGGAGATGACCCATTCGTCCAAGCAAAAGCCTCGGAGGCGTATGATATCTATTTATAGACTGGAATGATTTACTAACGTCATGCAGGTAACCTGGCCGTAAAGAAAGGCATCAGGGAATTTGCGAAGGTCAAAATAGGTCCTCGACCGGGAGAGGCCGGCGCCCATCGCATCATACACACAAAGCAGAAAGAAGAGCCAGTGGCACCACCGGACACAGGGTCGGAGCCAGAGACAGAGCCGGAGTCAGAGCCAGAGATTCTGGGATCAAAAGAACACGAGCTCGTGACCGAAGCCCTAGAGGAGCTGAAGAAGAATTATGAGAAACACTTTCCTCGGCGAACTCTGCGGCGCATAAGGACATGGCCGGGCGACGAAATCCCCAATCACATCAGCAGCGATGAATTGAAGCTCCTACCCGATTACTCCCTCGAGCACAGGCCATTCCACGATCGAAATTCGGTGGAACAAGGTCGGACAGCTAAGAGAGCTGCAAGCGGCTTACCAAAGCAGGCTTCTGGGGCCGATTCTGATTCTGACGATAATGATGGCCCCGCCAGTGCTGGCACTGCTGGGAACGCGAAAAAAGCCCGCACAAAGAAATCGACAACTGCTGGAACAGCAAAGTCTGCAAGGACCGCGAAGACTGCTGGCACAGCCGCTCCCACGCAGCAAAGCAGATATCCGAAACGTACTGGTCGAAAATAAGTATGGCCGTAGATCGGATTCGTCAACAGTCTTGCTATGCGACCCTGCAAGCTGTGGATGACGGACGACCGGAAACGAGATTGATAGCCGCACAGCAATGGACATGCTGTCTACGCAAATGCTGCGGTATTATTGCTGGGGTTGGCACCACTCCTTTACTTGACTTAGGTCAGGGTAGGATCTAAGGGCTAGGCCACAGGATGGATTAAGCAATCCATGGCACCTGTGTCGGTGAGTACTTTGTGATATGACATGTTCTGTTTGCAATTTGCCTCTATTATTGAGTTCATGACATCCATCTGCCCAAGTCTCTTCTAGGATGCTCATCCCCACTGTTGGCATGAAAGTAAAGGGTGGGGAGGGAGCACTTTGAAGAATCGTAGAGTAAATGTAAGTATTCTCTGCTGAAGGTATCAAGACGTGTAGGTCCATGTTATCTAATGTAGAACTGGAACATTATATTGTGAGCTATTGAGGAGGCATGCTGTCAAGCGAGAGCGATGCAGGTAGATAGAATGTAAATAAAGTCGTGATGTGCTTGGTGACACTAACACCATGAGATGCCTAAGGCATCATTCCTTAGAAGGGTCGCAATGGCAATGCAAACGAGGCAAACATGAGCAGTGAAATGACCATCGGGGAACGTATCGCATATTATTGTCTTCATTGTCGCGCCTAAACAGCCCTCATTGCTGTGCTAACCATTGTTCTGTCCGGCTATGATAATATAATATGGCTTGATATCCTATGTTCGCAATACTCTCTATGGCTCGATCTCTGAATTGAGAGCGCTCCCATCGTCGGATCTCAAAACCAGCTCTACTGCACCGAAGACTTCCTGGGTTGGCCTGGAAGGACCGCCAATATGTTTACCTTCACTCCCCTGCTGGGTGCGCAGTCCTCCTCCAGAGCCTCACAATCTATCTTGGAACTCGATGGTGGCATCAAAATCCTCGTGGACGTCGGTTGGGACGATACCTTTGATACGCTGGACCTACTAGAATTGGAGAAGTAAGCAGCTTGCTAAGCTAAGCTCGTCATCGCATACTCACAACTTCGAACAGGCATATCCCTACCCTGTCACTTATACTTCTGACTCACGCGACTCCGGCGCACATCGGTGCTTTCGTTCACTGCTGCAAAACGTTTCCTCTTTTTACCCAGATACCTGTCTACGCTACGAGTCCCATCATCGCTCTCGGTCGCACACTTCTTCAAGATCTCTATGCCTCCTCGCCCCTTGCAGCGACGTTCCTACCAAAAGCATCAATCTCAGAGCCGGGCGCGTCAACCTCAGCCGCATCCGCCGCGGCGTCTGTCACAGATGGGGAAGGGAACACGGCAGCTAGCAGCGCTGGCCGAATCCTCCTTCAGCCTCCCACCGCGGAGGAGATTGCCCGATACTTTTCTCTCATTCACCCGTTAAAGTATTCCCAACCGCACCAGCCTCTCTCGTCTCCTTTCTCGCCGCCGCTGAACGGGCTAACTCTCACTGCGTACAATGCTGGACATACAGTGGGTGGGACTATATGGCATATTCAGCATGGTATGGAATCGATTGTCTACGCCGTGGATTGGAATCAGGCCCGAGAAAGCGTCGTGGCCGGCGCTGCATGGTTCGGAGGCTCAGGTGCTAGCGGAGCAGAGGTCATTGAACAACTGCGCAAGCCGACGGCTTTGGTCTGCAGCACCCGGGGAGGAGACAAGTTTGCTCTTCCCGGTGGGCGAAAGAAACGTGACGACTTGCTTCTGGATATGATCCGGAGCAGTCTCGCGAAGGGTGGTACTGTCCTGATCCCAACTGACACTAGTGCTCGAGTCTTGGAGCTTGCCTATGCACTGGAGCATGCGTGGCGTGATGTGTCTGGCGGAAATAATGAAAGTGACATTGCCTTCAAGAACGCTGGGTTATACCTGGCTGGAAGGAAAGCGCACACTACCATGCGGCTGGCGAGGAGTATGATTGAATGGATGGATGAGAACATTGTGCGTGAGTTCGAAGCAGCGGAAGGTGTGGATGCTGTGACGGGCCAGACACAGTCGAACGCCGATGGTCAGCGGTCCGGTGGCCAAGGCCAGGGCAAAGGGGGATCGAAGGGACTAGGTCCTTTCACCTTCAAACATCTCAGGACAGTTGAACGCAGGAAAAGGTTGGAGAAAATATTGACGGATCAGAAACCGAAGGTGATTATTGCGTCCGATACATCTTTGGATTGGGGATTTGCAAAGGAATCCCTACGCTTGATTGCCGAGGGACCGAACAACCTGCTCCTACTGACTGAAAGCCTTCACAAAGAACGGCCATCAGACAGTAAGAATGAGCATCACAGGGAGACCCTTGGAAGCATGATCTGGCAATGGTACGAAGAGAGAAAGGATGGTGTTGCCTTGGAGAAAGCCCCAGATGGTGATCTCCTTGAACAGGTCCATAGCGGCGGAAGGGAGCTCTCCTGGACAGATGTACGACGAACACCCCTTGACCCCGGAGAGCAGTTGATCTATCAGCAATATCTCGCCACCAAGAGACAACTGCAGGATGCATCGCAAACAAGAGGTCAAGAAAATCTTGAGAACCCGACGGATGTACTTGACGACCGATCGAGCTCTACGTCGGAAGATTCAGAGACGGAGCAGCAGGGACGGGTCTTGAACTTCTCTACCTCGTTGGCTCATGCCAACCGCAACAAGCTGGGCCTTAGCGACGAAGATCTGGGCGTGAACATTCTTCTGCGTCGGAAGAACGTCTACGACTACGATGTCCGTGGGAAGAAGGGTCGCGAACGAATGTTCCCATATGTAGCACCAAGAAAGCGCGGAGACGAGTATGGAGAATTCATTCGACCCGAGGAGTATTTACGAGCCGAAGAGCGCGAAGAGGCAGACATGCAGCAGCGTCGGACCGAAGCCCAGACCAAATTGGGCCAAAAACGACGGTGGGACGAGGCAGGTCCGCATGGACGTCGAGCCTCCCAGAGCGGAAACAAGCGGCAACAGGTCGCCGGGGACGCTCATAAGAGGGAGGCTGGCGGCGCGGACGATCTCAGCATGACCGAGGATGCGGACGGTGCTGATGCAGCGATATCATCAGAGGATGAAGCCGATGAGCAATCGTTTGAAGGACCCGCGAAAGCCGTATTCGAGAAAGGCTCAATCACCATCAATGCACGTCTTGCTTTTGTGGACTTCACTGGGCTGCACGATAAGCGCAGTTTGGAGATGCTGATTCCACTCATCCAGCCGCGGAAACTAATCTTGGTTGGAGGAATGAAGGAGGAAACCACGGCCTTGGCGACAGAGTGCAGGAAGCTTCTCGCCGCCAAAGCTGGCGTCGATGTTTCGTCTCCAGACTCGGCCCTCATTTTCACGCCAACGAACGGAGAAATGGTCGATGCCAGTGTTGATACCAACGCTTGGATGGTCAAGCTGAGCAGGAATCTTGTCCGGCGCCTGAAATGGCAGCACGTGCGCAGTTTGGGTGTAGTAACACTAACCGCCCAACTGAGAGGGCCAGAACTCAACCCCGAGGAGGGAACCGAGGAGTCGGCAAGCAAGAAACAAAAGGTGTTGCTGGACGAGGCCAGTTCTGCAGCAACATCCACCCTTGGCGGAACCAGGCCAGCGGCGGACAAATCCGACGTCTTCCCTGTGCTTGATGTTTTACCGGCGAACATGGCGGCTGGTACCCGGTCCATGACTCGACCTCTGCATGTGGGTGATTTCCGACTGTCGGATCTGCGCAAAGTCATGCAGAGCGCCGGACACAAAGCGGAGTTCCGTGGTGAGGGAACGCTCCTCATCGATGGAATGGTGGCTGTTCGCAAATCGGGTACCGGCAGGATTGAGATCGAGGCATCTGCGCAGTCGGCGGCCATGAACCAGGCCGTGGGACGCGGTGCGGGAAGCTTCCTGGCAGTGAAGAGGAAGATCTACGAGGGTCTTGCAGTTGTTGCGGGAAGTTGACTATAAGAGATTACCAGGATATGTAAGGCATGTCTCATGATGTATTTGTATGTAGCTTGTACCAGGCTCGGCATTGTGAAATGGCGGCATCGACGTAGGATAACTGCAGCTATCTGTAATCTCAAACCATCTAATGGAACGTCTAAAAACAAAATAAACTCTCTCAGAGACGAGTCTAGGCAAAAGTCCAATGAAACCCATATCAGACCAAGCATGTCGATAGATCAACTCACGATCTCGTTGGAAACTAACGCAGTGCTCCATAATCCTCGTCGAAATCCTCCGTCGGAACCTCTTGCATATACTCGTTCGTCCGCGGACCAGTATATTTCCTAAGATGATAGAGACGTTAACACGGATCTGCTACTTTGAGACGTCCATAGGGGAACATACCCACGAGCATACGCCCACCACCAAAAGAGCGCAAACGCAGCGATAAAAGCACCCACACAAATCGCATAATTCCTGTTGACTAGTCAGATGATTACTCACGCTCCCAGGAACGAAACTCACATATTCGACGCCGTGACCGGCACAGTAGGCGGGAAGAAGAGCACCGTGCTTATGAACAGGACCCAGACGATCGAAACCCAGTTAATGGCTGCGCCCCACCGACCGAGCGTGAATGGCCCCTCGACGAACTTGACCTTATCCTTGTAGAGTCTATGAGCGAGGATGACGGAGACATAGGAGAGATCCAGAGCTGGGGCGGTGATGCTGAAGATCGCGGTGGCCGTTTGGGTTGATCCGATGGCGATGCAGTTGAGGCCGATGCTGAAGAGGACGACGAACCAGACGGCGTTGACGGGGGTGTGGGTGTATTTGTTGATTTTGGATAGAAAGCTGACGATTGTCTTTGTTAGTGCTATGCTCTTGTGCGGGGGGAAAGACTCGGGTGCGTTACGAGGAGAACGGTAGGGCTTCGTCACGGGCAAAGGCGTATGCCATCCGTGTATCTGCCAGCATGGCCGAGCAGCCGGTGAAGAACTGGACTAGGATGGCGAATCCCCACATGATCGTGCCGCCTGTCTTTCCGCCGG